TTCCTTTGTTGATTTTGATGCTCATAACAAATATGCTGATATAAATACTTGGGTGTCATTATTTTTGTTATGTTGATTCTTGATAAATTTATATTTTGTTGAAACCAGCGTTACCACATTGCGGGTTTTTTCTCAATTCTGGGAAAAAACACAAATATATTTTTTTATTAAAAAAATTATTCTTAACAAAACGTTTGGGGGTTTTTTAGAAAACCTATATTTTTGGGAATATTTAAAATCAGTTTGACGGAAATCACAAAATTGCATCCGGAAACCCTGATCGTGTCTCTACAACTCTAGCTCACAGCGAGTTTTTGGCGGGATTTCATCGAGTGCGGTTGGCGTCTTATTTTATTTATTCATAAATTCGTTCATAGTGGATATCTTAATATATATAAATCTCGTGTCACAATGTTTGTCCTCAATGGACTCCTAAACCACTTAACCGATTATAATAAAATTCGCACACCATGTGCAGTTCTTTTTTTTATTTTTTTATAGATAGGTCCGACAAATGACTCCACCCCACCTGATGTTAAGTGAAGGTGAAGTCCAGACGTGACGATAGCTGATACAGCAGTTTTATCTGCCACACCAGCCATCTTCACCCTGCCGGCCTGCATGTTGCTTCTTCACACCTCTTTTAAAGGATCCCAGGTTGTAAGAGGGAGGGAACACGTGAGCGGGCAGAGCATTCCATTTACGGATAGTGCGACAAAGAAATGAGTCACCAAATTTCTTTGTACGCGTTGGAATTGTGGCCACAGTTAGACGATGACAACGTAGGCCAGCGCGCGTGGTCCTCTGAAGGAAAGGAGAAGGTGGGATAAAAGAGAATAACTCCTCAGAACACTCGCCGTGGTACAGACGATAGAACGCGCTTAGTGACGCCACGTCACGGCGTAATTGAAGAGGCTCAAGGTGTTTAGTCACCTCCTCATCGCCTATGATGCGGATCGCGCGTCGCTGTAACCTATCCAAAGCATCGAGCAAGTACTTTGCGGAGCCATCCCAGAGGTGCGAGCAATATTCCACGCAGGACCGCACTTGCGTTTTGTACAACAAGCACAGTTGATCGGGCGTGAAAAAACGCCGCACCTTGTTCAGGACTCCGAGTTTGCGTGAAGCTGTTTTGATCACGGTTTCGATGTAGTTCTTTGGATTCAGGTCTGAGCGAACTTCCATACCGAGCATGGAAATGTTGCTCTGCAGCGGTAGTGTTGTGCCCTGAAGAGATGGAAGGGGAAGGAATGACGATGTTTTTGCCGTGAAAGCGCAAGCCTGAGTTTTTTTGGCATTGAACTCAACCAAGTTCCTGGTACCCCATTCGGAAATGTGGTCCAAAGCCTGATTGAGTTCAATGACAAGATTCTCGCGTTTCTCCTTGGTTACCGCCAGCCCAGCCGCTGCTTGTCCGAGATACCCCGCATGCACTGTACTATCGTCTGCATAGCAATGAATATTCCCAAGAGGAATTAAGTCATTGATATGCAGCAGAAAGAGAGTGGGGGATAGGACGGAGCCCTGGGGAACGCCGGCATTCACTGACATGAACCGCGAACTGCTGCCATCCGTAAGGACACGAATTCTACGCTCATGCAGGAAGTCAGCTACCCAAGAACAGAACTGGGCTGGCAGACCGTATGCCGGAAGCTTGGAGAGAAGGCTTTTGTGCCATACCCTGTCGAACGCCTTGGCAATGTCAAGGCTGATAGCCAACGACTCGCCACGCTTGTCGATAGCCTCACCCCAGATATGAGTTAAGTACGCTAGAAGATCACCCGTCGATCGTTTCGGTCTAAAACCATATTGACGATCATTAATCAAGGAGTGATCCTCTAGGTAGCGGGTCAGATGGTTATTAAGGACCTTTTCTAAAACTTTACATAAAACTGAGGTGACTGCTATTGGCCGGTAGTTTGCCGGGTCTGAGCGATCCCCTTTTTTGGGCACCGGTTGCACATTAGCATCTCTCCAAGTCTCCGGCACACGCCCCAAAGAATACGAGCATTGGTACAAGCGCGTGAGCACGGGAGACAACTGCGCTGCACATTTTTTGAGTACTACTGCTGGGATGCCATCAGGTCCACTAGCTTTCCGGACGTCGAGTGATTGCAATTCGGCACGAACCTCGCGCTGCCTGATTTTAATATCAGGCATCGTTGTGCCACAGTGAGGTAATGATGGTGGCAGTGCATTGCAATCATCGATTCGGGAGTTAGCCGCAAAAAGTTTTGCCAGTAAATCGGCTTTCTCCTGCGGCTTATGGGCTAGTGTTCCGTCTGGGCATCTCAGAGGTGGCAGCGAGGGCTCGCAGAAGTTTTTTTGCACGGCCTTGGCCAGACGCCAGTAGCTACGGGAGCCCGTAGGATGCGTCATAAGTTCCTGGCCAACACGTGCAACGCGCTGGGCATCCGCTCTAATGTAAGCCTTCTTACAGGCCTTGGAAGCAAAATTGTAGGCTGCTTTGAGTAAATCGACCTCGGGATCCTTGAGAGCGCGACCTCTGATCCAAGCACGATATGCTGCTTGCTTACGCGAAGCAGCTTCAGCACAGTCGTGATTGAACCAGAGGTTACGCGTGCCCTTACTGATGAGATCAGAATGAGGAATATAGTATTCCATACCCATTATAATCTCCTCAGTAATGGCAACGGCACTGGCCGATAGGTCCCTGTCACTGAAGCAGCGCTGCTTCCAAGGGACGGACGCAAAGTAGTCACGCATACCGTCCCAATCTGCCGACCCATAATGCCAGATACGGCGCTTGACCACTGCTGGACGCGGAGGCTTGGCCTGTGGTGCTTTGGCAGATATCAGGCAGTGGTCTGACGAGCCCAGGGGGGCTCTTACCACAACCTGATAGCCCTGTGGATGGGTCGTGAGCAGAAGGTCCAGTAAAGAAGGCGCTTGACTTGGAATATCTGGGATCCTGGTGGGCTGATCAACCAGTTGCTTCAAGTCATGCGTGAGAGCGAATGCGTGAGCAGAGATCCCTGCATGGTCAGTTTTGGAAGAACTTAACCACAAATTGTGGTGAGCATTAAAGTCCTCCAAAAACACCAATTCTGCATTGGGAAATTGTTCCTGTGCGTCATCTGCTGCCCGACTAAGGTGTTCAAAAAGTCGAGTTGTCTCAACATCGCCGGTGTGGGATCTGTAGAGACACACGTAAACTCTGGCCAGGGGGCCAGAGTCGACGTGTACCCCCAGCATGGAGAAGGAGGGATCTTCCAAGCAGCGGAGACGGCGACAACAAACATCCGCCCGAACATACAGACATACACCGGCTTTCGCTTTGAAGGACTCTTCAAGCACGTAGCCGGGATAATTAAGGTAGCCTGTGTCAGCAGGCGGAAGTATTTGTGTCTCCGCAAGGAACAACAATGCTGGCCGTGCTGTCTCAAGATGGTGGTGGACAGCGTTGAGGTTAGAGTGGAGTCCGCGTATGTTGCAGAACTCGACCTCAAACAGCGTTGAAGGCGTGGGGGTGTGCACCGCTGAACGTCCAAACTTTGTTTTAGGAGCTGCCATTATGGAAGTGAAAAAGAGACGTGAAACGAGTGGACGTTGTCGCGACAAGACCGGGCAAATTAGGGAGGCATGTTTCCCCGAATGATTGCCTGCAGAGGATATACGCCGACCCGCCGGACGGAAGGGCCCCCGCACCCCCCAGGAAGTGGCCGCCGGGACCCCACGCCCCGGTCACCAACCGGCACGACGGTCCACCCCGAGATTATGCGTGACATGATGGGGCAGCCTCGCGAACTGGTTAGGAACGCTCGGGCCCCTGTACTGTGCCACGGGCGGCCAGCGGGACAGCCGTTTCTACGGGTCTCCCTGGCCGGCGGGTCGATGCAGTCCTCCCGGCATCGGTTCCACGGATGCCTAGCCCTGGACCGAATCCGTTGCGACAACCTCCACTCGAGCCCTGGTTGTACGCTGGCTGACCCCGAAACGCGCGAGAAGCACTTCACGGGTTTTTTACCATGCGCACGGTGGTAACAAACCAGGCGGGTGTTAGGCACCCTACCACCAGCAGAGCGGATGGAAGCTCCGATATCCCTTAGTCGCCTCTTACGACACCCACGGGAAGAGAAGGGGCGGTGAGTTGTATTCTTTCTCCGTCACCGCACGGATGTCAGTCAGTTCGATCCAACTTGAGAGATAGGATAGTTTAAAATTTCAAATTATAGTCGCAATTTTAATTTATTGCTAAATATTACTTTTGGGCGGTACGAAGTTCGCCGAGTCAGCTAGTTGTGAAATAAAATTGATGTGATTTTGTGTTACAACCATCTGCGCAAATGAATGATTTGTCGAATCTTTAAAATATACACTATTCCAGTCAAGTGGACGTGTGAACTTTACTGTAGTGTTGACTACCTCACAGAAGCTTATCGGAAAAACCAACTCGGTACATTTCGTGCCAAACACTCCAAGAAACATTAGAATGCGTCACACCGACATTCTAATGTAAATAAAAAATAAAAAATTAAGATAAGGATTTGTGTTTATGTATACGACTGAAAAACTTGTATCCATAGCACTATATGTAGCAAGCTACATGGTCATGAATTATTAAAACAACAACCCTAGCTCACAGACTATCAGATGCTTACCCTAGCTGTAAGTTTTTGGCGGGTTTTTATCGAGTGGGGTTGGCGTCTTAATTTAATTATTCTTTTATTCGTTCATAGTGGATAGTGTGAAATAAAATTAGTATGATTTTGTGTTACAACTGTCTGCACAACTGAAGAATTAGTGGAATCTTTAAATTAAACGCTATCATGGTCAAGTAGAGGTGAGAACTTTATTGCAGTGTTGACTACCACACAGTAGCTTATCGAGAAAGCTGACTCTATACATTTCGTAATAAACACTACAATAATAATGAGAAAAGATTAGGCTGTATGGGCATTGTTCCCTTTACCTTCCTTAAAAAGGGAGAACCTTAAAAAAACCATCACTCTAGCTGTCAAGGTGTCATTGTTGTGTAACGGTACGGAACTCTGTTTTGCTCTATTTGGATTTCCTACCAGCTAAAAATCTTAAAGCTTTAAAACATTAACCTACTTTAAACTAAGTAAAAATGTATATTTTCTCTAATTTAGTGAAAGTTACTATTCCTAATTACTTGGCTGGATTACCGATCCCTGATAGTTTCGGTGGATGGTTTCGTCTAGGAGGTGAGAGAGCCCCTTACTTTTTTATTGAAAGAATTACCATGCCGTCATTTTGTATGTACTAAATAATAATTACTTAATTACTTTGCATTCTAGGGAATTTCAGGAAACTTATTCCTTATTTTAGGTATATAAGGATATATAGCTTAATGATAATAAATAACCTTGAAGCACATATTTTTATATCTTGGTTATCCTCGTTGACAGTAATTCCCTGACATACTTTTCATATTTGCTGTTGTAAATGTAATTGTTATCTAGTCATGGAATAAACACTGACTACATAGATGATAGATAAATGAGTGACTAGACACAGGGTTAATAAATGACTGAAATTTGTTAGTTATCATGTTTAGAATGGTTTTAAAATTTTTTTTTCAGTTCGTGACTGGCTTGCTTTGTTACCACCAACTTTGGCAGTTGGAGGTATCTCATATATATCATATCAAACCGTTAAGAAGGCTCGTGAGGCAGGCAATGGCCAAGTAAACCCATCCATAAGGAAGGACATCAATAAAGTTGTAGATTTCATTGATATAGAAGATATCACAGAAAAAGTGTCACTTTGCAGATGTTGGAGAAGTAAAAATGTAAGCTTATTTATTTCCACAAAGTTATTTATAAAATTAGTAGGTACCTAATAAAGTTTCACAGCTACTATTTACACTGAGTTCTTTATTTTACTGATTGTATTTTAATTGACCTTGAGTCTTATAGGATGGAGCATATTTTCTGTTGCTACATTTTTTCAAAGATTTGTATAACATTTTAAAATGTATTGATTAGATTTATGTTGCTATTTCAGTGGCCTTATTGTGATGGAGCACATGGTGCCCACAACAAAGCAACTGGTGACAACACTGGTCCTGCAGTAGTGAGGCATAAGGAGTCCAAGTAGAAATCCAGATCATCACCTTATGAACAAGTGATAACAAAATGTGATCATAGTAGCATAAATTTGATGTAATATATTACTGCAAATATCACAGTACCTTAGAGGGTAAAGGTGATAAATGGAAATTGAAACATATTATTAAAATATGTTAATAATTGTGATGTTTATATTTTCAAACAGTTTACTTTGTTTTAAGTTATATAATTGTGAAGATTTTTTACAAATAATTTTTAAAAAACTGGTTTCATAAGAAAAAACAAGCTTTTGGATTTTTATTGCTTCTAAATGGTGTTTTATTTTAATCTTACTTACACTAAACAAAAACTCAGATATTCTCTCCATAAGTTTTATTAAATTCCTCACTCTAAATTTAAAACATATTTTAATCAAATCACAGATATGTTTTGACTTTAACATACACTTTTTATTCATTATATTGCTAGTGTTTACAAAGTTGCCCAATTGTATAAAAATATTAAGGACTGTTTATTATTTGAAGTATTAAATTTGCCTAGTTAATTTACTATTGGTATGGCACAGATAAATAATATTGTAAGTCTATTAGTGGTATGACTCTCTAAAACTAAATTAAGCAGTTGTTAAACCCAATCATCTAAATGACTGCATCTTATTGCATGAAACCAATGTGCAGGTAGAAAGAAACAAGGTTTAGAAAAACTGCAGTTTTGGTGATTATCCTGTTTTATATAGAATTAAAAATATGAAATTGTTGTCTTTAGTATTAAGTTAAGAATCGTGCCAGAGAATTGGTCCTATCCCATTAACAAAGAGAAAAAAATAGTAGTTTTTATTTCACAGTTTGTTAAATAATTGTCTGTTATCTAAAAAATACCAAGGAATCGAGACAACATTACTGTAAAAGTTGCAAAACTATTTCCAGTACCATAATGCTGCATTATTATTAAACTGAGTGTGTAAGCATTAATGACCTTATGTGTATATTATGTAACAAGTGCACAAATTTCTTTATTTGAAGTTTGAACACAGCTCCAGTATTCTATCTATAACATTAATAGATAAATCAAATATGCACACACATACTACAGGTTTTCAAAGAGGTGCAAATTTAATTAAACATACAGGCAATATTTTGAAAAACTATATAATTCTTCCAAGACTTCTAGTAAAATTTTACCATAAATGATTGCTTAAAGTTTTAACGTATCTGATTACGAGGTATTAGACCGGACCCTGGCCGGCACCTGCCCATGTAGCAGCTACACGGTCTCCCCTTTCAACTAAATTATCAATTCATTCATACATTTCATTTTTGACATTATCAATCATGTTTTAGATATAAGTTACCAGTTCATGGTATCTAGTTATAAAAATGACCCTTACTTAAATGGTAAATAAGTGCTAGTCATTATTTTAAAAAATACAATCAGTCTTTGATTCCAAATTATTGATACCAAAAACAGTAGACAAGAATAAGCGAAGGTATTAGCCGGCATTATCAGTGATTGGTATCAATTGATCTGGTGCATCCTTCACAACTGGAAACAAGAGAAAATAAATTCATTAGGTACCTAAGTACTTAATTTTCATGCAGATACTAAAAGTAGTGGAGGGGGGGGGGGGGGGGGACAGAAATTCCCACCGAACGTGTTCTTTCTCAACACTTCCAACACAGGCGCGGGCGCGCATAGTTTACGCCGGTTTCTACCCCGCCTGACTCTATACATAGCACGAGAGAACATATTATTTTAAAAAAAGGTTCTGTCACCGTGGCGGTTGTTATTGAAATCCAATTATTTATGAAGATACATAAAGAATATTCAACAGTAGGTACCAACTAGATACCTACGTGCTCCACGTGAGTCTGCATACGACCGTTTAACATGTATTTGAATGTAAATTGTAAGTCTTTAATCTTTGCCGCTTGATAGTTGTCACATCTTAAGAATATTTCTCTAAGCTCGCTTTATTGTTTAATTTGTTGCATACACAATTTACTGACATTGTTGGTTCTGTCTGTGCGGAAATCTACAAACGGTACCTATAACTATGCATTGGCAGTACCTACATCAAAGAGCATAAGAAAGGAAGAGGACAACCTCCACCGACCTGGTGGTCCAAGATAGAAAAGAGACTAAGAGCGTGCGCTGCGTTAAGCGGCGGGGCACGAAGCGCTCGGCAGGCAGTTCTTGTGGCATTTCATAGACCCGCGCGGCACGGGAGATCCACGTCACGTAGTTACATAACATGAAACAAACACGCCGAGCGAACGCCCGCCTCGTACTCCGTTTAACGTAGCGCACGCACTAAGGAAGCCTGATTACAGGAATCCACAACCCATTGTAGATTATACTGGCGTAAGTGAGTGAGGAGACCCGATCCCAAATAAAGATATGTGGATGCACTAAACAATAGGTATTTAAAAAAAGGGTGTCTCGTGGACAAAAGGTTTAATGACCTTGGTTCATGGGTTGGGTTGTCTGTTGGGATGTCTACCAACAAGTTGTTAACGGCCGGCATAAGGTAGAATGTATCGATCGCATAAGAAAATGCCGTTTTTCCAAACTTTTAACTAGTCTAAGGCGCCAGATGGCGTTCATAGGCATTAAGTTCAGGTTATTTTAGTACCTTTATTAAAAACAAGAATATTTTCTTGCATAATATCTTAGTGCATTTACCTCTATTTGAGTTTCCGCTATATTTTCTTCATTTCTCAATAACTCATGTTTTAAACCATTCCTCTTTCTGAAAATAAAAACAAAAAATGGTAAATAAATTATTCTTATTGCTTGCTTAATAATATAAAAACATACATTTATTAAATAACTAGTTGACTCCGCGTTCTTCGTACGGGTTAAATAGTCCAGGAATTTTAGCACCAAAAATCGGTCCGCTCTGCATAAAATCCTTCTACGTGATTTTTTGATTGGATTATATCAGAGGGTGCCCCCTAAGTATAAAACCGAGTTTCTGTCGCCCGAAACCGCGAGCGTCAGAAGCCATCTTGGAAACAGTTTTTTTGCATATATCTCGGAAACGGTAAGTTTTACGTTAAAAACCGAAGAGATCTTTTTTGTAGAGAACAAAATTTCCCATCTTTTTTATACCAAACTTTTCCCCCTATTGTTGATATTTTCTGATATATTGAAGTAAAAAAACCAATTTTTTTGTTTTTGTAAAGTAACTCAATAATTTTTGGAGATACGAAAAAAATGTTTGAATTAAAGTTGGAGAGCATGAAATTTCCAACAAATTTTGTATAAAACTTTTTCTTGCAAAATGATTAGTTGCTGAGTTCCAGCTAAATAAAAATTGTCACCAGGAATCGAAAATCAGCGATGAGCGGTAATACGTTACTCTGGCATGCAAACAAAAAAGTATAATCGAAAAATTTTATCATGAAGACGGTAACGATTTTATTTATCGTGAAAAGGAGGGAAATGAAAGATGTAGGTAGCGTAGACGATTGCGACGGTGGTTCCGACGATGATGGGTCTGACAATCTTCTCCGTATGAACGCTGTTATTCTCCTCTCATCCGTATAATTCGTGTAACACAATTTGTGCACGCTTACACTTTTTAAATTCTTCAATAAAACTCCGTGTTCTTTCTGCTCTCTTTTTATGCTTGATTGTATCAGTCTTTGCACACCTTTTTCTTTCACCACTTGTACGTCTTTATCACTTATCAATTCACATATAAAACACGTACTCATTTTAACGGCGTTCCGACTTAAATTACTTACCTTCTGTAAAACAATACTTTACGCGGAGACATCGAATTTACTTATACTTTTTGTTTGCATGCGAGAGTAACGTATTGCCACTTACCGCTGATTTTCATGTACTTTTATTGCGCTAGAACTCAGCAACTAATCATTTTGTAAGAAAAAGTTTTATACAAAATTTGTAGAAAATTTCATGCTCTCCAATTTTTATTCAAACATTTTTTTCGTATCTCCAAAAATTATTGAGTTACTTTACAAAAACAAAAAAATTGGTTTTTTTACTTCAATATATCGGAAAATATCAACAATAGGGGGAAAAGTTTGGTATAAAAAAGATGGGAAATTTTGTTCTCTACAAAAAAGATCTCTTCGGTTTTTAACGTAAAACTTACCGTTTCCGAGATATATGCAAAAAAACGGTTTTCAAGATGGCGGCTAACGCTCGCAGTTTCGGGCGACAGAAACTCGGTTTTATACTTGGGGGGCACCCTCCGACATAATCCAATCGAAAAATAACGTAGAAGGATTTTATGCAGAGCGGACATCTAAAAATCTTGGACTAAAAATAATTTGGAAGAAATGACGGGACTCGAGTCTACCGTACCACCAGGGACGAACGTCAAATGTTTGACAGCAAAGAAGATAGAACAGTTTAAGGGAAAATTAAATTGACGTTTTTATTATCTTTTCCATAATTTCTCACCTTTTAAATCTTCCCTAGACCTCTACGAACATTTCAAGATCAAGATAAGATAAATCCGTTCGGCCGTTCTCGAGTTTTAGCGAGACTAACGAACAGCAATTGATTTTTATATATGTAGATTGACTGTACTTTATACAGAGTTGGTATTTTGTTTCTGATATCTATGGTCCTATATAAAAACATGTTCTAAAGTATCATCGAAGTCATTGCGCAGCTTCCTTAAACACAATAAAGTATAATAGTTCGCAAAGAAATAACACGCCAGTAATTTCCAAGTAGGACAAAGACGATAATATACCTATATCAATACTAACTGCTTTGATAATCAGACTAAATGAATTTGTCTTTGCATACACCTTTGACATATTCACATCAACGTCTAGTCTAGGGATCAAGTACGCAAAGCACGAACGTAATTGATGTCGATGCCGCCGTTAACTTGACTTAATTTCCCGCAACTACAAATACAGCAAATGTTTATTGATAAAAAGAAATGAAAGCGTACGTTATCAGCCTATACAAAGGAATTAATTGAGTGAAACTAGTCCGCTGGTCCGAGTTATTGTTAGTTTTTTGGAATAAAGTGTCATATTTTATGTCTCAATCTAGGTACCTAACTTATACTCAACTATAAATGATGTGTGCCAAATTTCATTAGTGTTCAGTCAATATTACGTGATTGAGTAACAAACTTTCACATTTAGAATATTATAGAAGAATAGTTCGAAAAGCCTGTCTGCATGAATAGGTTCGGTAAATACTGATTGAATAATATTATATTACAAGAAAAATATTCAATTTATGCCTTATAATACTTTTAAAGTAGTAAAAGTATAAAGAAAGCGAACATCGTCGAATGTTTATATGGTAAATTAATTTTAAAAAGTTTGCGTGATTTGTATAGGAGCCAAAATATAAGGCGGAAAAAATTGTGTTGTTTGCGTGCGTTCATACTACTTTAAAGTGGAAGCGTTTATGCATGTTTTGTTTCGACGTTGTTTCCGCTACATTCGACCGGGTCCTGCGCAGTCTCGGGAGTCTCATATTACCCTACACACAACACAATAAAGGCTTCAAGCCTCGCAAGCGAGGGAAGCCAGCCTCATACAACACAACTAAGTTTATTCGACGGCCCGTCAACACACTATAGCGGTTAAAATATTCGACTCGAAGGACCATAAAAGTTTATTTAATATACTTTTATCTTCGAGTCGAATTACTAATGGATAAATTGTGTACTGCTATGCTGTTTAGTAGGTACTATTAAATTAGTTTTGATTGTACCTATTTCTAGGAAACTATTTTATCACCATCATAAGCCTATTTAAATATTTTTTGAAAAGTTTAAATAACGGTTACCTACTTGAAACTTGAAACCTCGAACCGTTGCCGTTTGGGTTTTTGTTTTTTTTTTATATTTAACGTTTTTATTTCACACTTTTTAGTTAGGATTATAAGACGGTATATACCGCGGTTTTGTCACTTCAGTATGGGAGTATTGCAGGAATTATTAAGTAATTTGAGGTGGTCTAAACGATTGATTTATTAAGACATATAGGGACCTTACCACCAGGGTCAAGGCTACAGATGGGCCTCAATTTTCGCAAAAATGTGTAAAGTTCACTAGTAATTATTCAAAAAATCATCTTTTGCTTATGTTATTTTTAGTAATTTAGGAGAAAATATAATATATTTACTTTTATTCGTCGAATAAGTATATAAAATTGGCAATGGCTGCATTGTCAACGTTTGACTTTAAGATTGTTATACACACAAATGCAGTGTCATATCCTAGCCTCAGAATTTAACAAACATTAGTAACAGAAGGTAATGCACTATGTAAAGAGTGGCCATACACAACATCATAACATTTAATTTGTTTTTCCTTTCAATCGTCGATAATACTGGTGATTTAAAATTAAGCTCTTTTGAAACAAAGGTTAGTCGAGCTTTAACTTTGGGCTACGTTTACTAATAAGGCGGTTTAGGTAGGTATATAATAAATGTATTATGTAAATAAGTACATATTTTTATCGATACTCACAAGTATATCCTGCGCCATACAATGAGTGCAATGTAAGCGAGACAGACTATGGTGCAGGTGATGACGACCATGATCCCAGCGGCTACGCCGAATGGCTCGCCGCGCGCGCCTCTGTACCGAATATAAGAATCTTTGCTGATACTTGTCTCTACTGTAAGGAAAAAATGCAGGTTATACGAATAACAAATGGCTATCTTCTTAATGTTATGGTTTAAGCAATATATCTATTGCGGTAGTAATAGCCCGAGTTGTATTTAGGATAACATATAGAGTTAGGATAGTTTAGCAAAGGCGTGCCGCTCGTCGCAGCTTGCTTTTTAGTAATGCCCCCTTCCTACAGCACTGTATCGGGATTACATACCCCGGAGGGGAAAAGTTCATATTAAAAGTCGGAAATAGACTTATTAACCGGACGTCACGCCACGCGTTGAGTCAAATTGAAAGTACCATTTTCTATGATCATAATCACAAGAAACATGCGACTCGACGCAACGCGTTCACATTGATCATACAAAATACGCGTGGCGTCTCGTTCCATAAGTCTGTTTCTGCTTTAAGATGATGTGACGTCACATTTTCGGAATATGTTGCGTTTATATTAAGATATTATTTTTAGTTACTTATTGTATTAAAGAGTAAATTTACTGCCATACAACAAACCGATAGACGTTTAATCACGCGGCAACGAAATAGTCTCGCCTACAACAGTTCCCGGATAGACCATGTGTCTACTTCTAGTTGTTTGGCTTTCACAATCTGTACCTTGTAAGAATTCCGCTTGCGAGTCAGGTGGGTCGGGCACGGCCAGCCGTTCATCCTCGGAGTCCTCCGGGAAGCTGGGCAGATCAACATGCTCCTGGATGTCGTCCCGCGAATGCAACATGTCGAACACTTCTGTCCTGAAAACGAAGTCTATTGAAAATCTCACAAACTTAAATAAATCAGTAGAAGAAAATAAACTGAGGCAAGGAGGGTTTGTACTTTTTGCTAAAATCATCGAAAAAATAGTTTTTTCCATTAAAATGTTATGTAGTTCTTGTAGCAAAATGCACACACACTGAGAAAATTTCAACTACAACCAGCTACTATCAGATAGATTTTCAAGTACATAATTATAAGTAGTATTTAGTCATAAGCTTTATATGAAAACAAAGAATTTAAAAACAAGCAAGCGTTTGTGCCATTGACACTCGGGTGGCCCAATCTTCCTATTCCATAAACAAAAAGCTACTAATCCGCACTGGCACCGCGTGGTGGGTCATGGCGCGATCCCTCTATTTCTTAATAAAAATAATCCTACTCACAAATCTTCCATCTAAAAAAATATCCTACCATCCGCACTAAGTACACTACGTACGAGTAAGTAAAGTTCTCGAGTAAACTTTAGGTTCTCTGTGCGACATAGCTTTCATGTGATTAATAACAAACATAAATAGAGAAATGCGTTTTCTAAATTATAGCATATGGTAATATGGTAGATCCATAATGCCACTAATGCCATGACAGTCAGTACTCCTAAATAACATATGCATCAACGATAGGAGAAATTCTTTATATTGGCATAGAGGATTACTAATGTTCTTGTGAATCAAATTGACTGCGAGCAGGCTCATGGAAAAGTAAAGAAGGTGTTCAATATCTCAATATAAAAAGTAATCCCTGTTTCCCTTGGTCACGCACGACATAAATTCTGAACGAGTATCGTTTTTATCCATATTTTTTTAAAAATTTTTAATAAGTAGTTATTTGGAAGTTTCTAAAGAAAAAAAATGTTGCATCAAGCTTAAGGCAACGAAGAAGATAAAGGAGGAAGCTAGTGTACTATAATTATCTCAATCTGATGACCTACGACTAGTAAACTACTCGTATATCGGATATCTAGCTCGAATAATAGAATTGCAGGGAAATCTCACTACCATAATCACTTTAAACATCGGCATTTTATATTAGTTGAGTCTTCTTACTGAAGAAACAATACTGACGAACAGGTCAACAGCCCATTGGGTACAATAATTTATAGAACTACCCATGTTCGCTAATAGGGCTTTCACTATCAGCAGTCGGAAAGTAAGCTGGCATTCCATGTTGTGTTTGCTGCCATTCCACAGGGCTGTAATAGTATGATTATCAAAACATCAACAAAGAATGAAATGAAATTTATACTAATTCCAAAACAATCAACGTCCTCCAGTGATAGTAAGGTTACTAGAGCCCACTAAAGACCCACCTGACGCATTATATTTTTCTACCTTATTTTCGCCATCTTCTCAAGGTATACCAACTTACGTAGGGTGGAGGATTTTGATGAGTTTTGTACTTGTTCAAAATATTAAGTAGTATATGTGTCCTGCGATTTCGCCCGCGTAAATTTGAGGAAAAAGATTGTAAATAGTCAAACATAAAACTGCCGCGAACATTTTTAAAGGGAAACAATTCCGTAGTACACGATTTTTGTGTAGCTTTAACCGTTTACGCAGCTAACGCAATGAAAGCTCTCATTAATGAATTATTTTTCCCCGTTTTGTATAATTTTTCATCGATGCTCCGCTCCTACTGGTCGTAGCGTGATGTTATAAAGCCATCCTCGATAAATGCACTATCGAACACAAAAATGTTTTTTGTAATCGGATCAGTAGATCCTGAGATTAGCGCGTTCAACCAAATAAACAATCATATAGATTACCTGCTGACGCCATCTTTGTCGTCCACCAGCAGCTTCAGGAGAGTCGCGTTGGCCTCCAGTGTTTTGTACCGGCTATTGTCCTCCACCTCCTTGCCGAGGCTGGCCAGCGTTGTTGTGTCAACACCCACGACTCCCTTGCTTCTTAATGTGAAACCTGACAGATTACAGAAGAATTTATTTAACTAGGAATTACTTAACCTTAACTTATTGTATGCAAAAACAGGTATTTTGAAAGTATGAGTACTTAACTACCTCCCAAAGTCATAAGTTTTTATTCACTTCTATCGACATGGTTTCAATTTCAAAGATCTAGCTTCTTAGTTATTTGGAGCAATGCGATTATGTTGTCCAATATTTGTTTAAGGTGAGTGATACAAATAAGGCCTACCTAATTTTAAACATTCATATCATGATAAATTATTAGAAGAAGGTGATAAATAAAAGCAAGGTATTAATCTTTGGTTTAGAAATTTTTAGTATTTTAAGAAAAAATATTACAATCTTTTATCAGAAATCACTTAAAAAGAGGTTATTATGGAACCTTAGCCTTAGGTAGGGCTGCCATCCGTCCGGGTTTCCCCGGATTTGTCCTAGTTTACGGGGCGTCCGGGGAGCGTCCGGGCGGGGTTTCGTTTGTAGTCCGGGTTTAAAAATTTCCTGTTTTGGGTCGCCAATTAATCCGTCAATTTAAATGTCTTTAAAAATAAATAAATCTATTCTAACACTGTAACCATAAATGCTGACTTCCTACAAAGATCAGCTTTGTCCCCCTTACTGTCCGCAATAACGCATTCGTTGCTATGCGGATTCAAGCACTGAAACTTTTTACACTGGCCGGTCAAACATCCCTCGGATGGAAGAAGAAGGGTGTAAAGACAGACTTGTGTCCGAGATTGAGATGTTACTGGATCAAGTCTCAAATTGGAGCCATCAAAATTTGATTGGATTAACCCAGCAAAGACACAAGTGTGTGTGAAAAAGCTTGTGTGTTCAATAGATCTAGTAAGTACCTCAAGCCTAAATATCGGGTGTTACTTTACAAAGCACTGGTCCTCTGGGCTGGAGCACCCCAATACCTTCCAGCTCCTTGCTCTTGACCGGATACAAAAGCGGATAGTTTGACATATCAATGCTCCTGAGCTCACTCACGCGTTGCAACCCCTTAGCATGTGCAGACGGTACAACACGTAAAAGGACGCAACTCCTTCCACGTGGCGTACGGTCTATACAATCAATGGAGAGTGTTCCGAGGAATTATTCAACCGGATGCCAGTGGCCAAGTTTCTTCACAGCACCACAAACCGCAGAGAAGTTTCCCGCCCATCATCTGGACGCCTGGCGTTTGAGCACCATGTGTTCCTTTCTTTTGTGTACCAGCAAGATCTAGAACGAACTTTCCTCAGTATTTTTTTCTTATAGCTATGTGGTAATCTTAAAAAGGCGGATGAACCTTTTCGTTCAGAGCCGGCAACGCATGAGTGGCCCTTGGTGCTGCAAGTGTCCATGGGCAGCATTGACCACTTACTATGAGGTAGACCGCTAGCTCTTTTGCCTACATCAACATAAAAAAAAGTTGATTTGTGACATTTTTAACTGTTTTTTTATTGGTCTGTCCGGGTTCTGGGCTCCAAAATCCGGGGTTATCACGCCTCCGATCCTGGTTGCCACATTTTAGAGATGGCAGCCCTAGCCTTAGGCTTTTTTAAAACATAGTAACTTAACAAAGCCTATGTACTTAAATTATAGGAATATTGTTATTACAGTATAAATTATATTAAAATAAGTTTTTCTGAGCCTTTAATCAAGTCTCTCCATGCGATCCTTGTACAACATTCTAGGTAATTTTACTAACGCGCTATGAAAATGCTCGTACTTCACAAAGTACCGCCACTACTAACGATATTATGAGCTTGAGCGTACCGCTCGTGCACACTTTGCCGATTTGTAGAACAGTACCCCTAGCACGAACCATTATCGAATTCGAATAGTTTGCAAACCGAAATGTCAATGTCAAATTTTGTATGGAAACTTGAACAGCAGCGGCACAAAGTACGTAACGAGAACTAAAAATCAGTACACATTTGACAATTACATTTCGGACTCGTAAACGATACGAATTCGATATTGGTTCGTGCTAGGGGTACTGTTGTCTATGCGTGTGCAAAGTATTTTTGATGTAAATATATTTTAATGGACTTTTCTGCACTACAGGCCTTATTTCAGCATAGGCCTTATTTGTATCAGGTACCTTTTTATTTTAGCTATCAGTCATTTCGTTTTGAGCTGGGTCAAGTAACTGTTATCTCTAAACCTAAGTTTTACATTAGCTTACACACAGACTTGCTGCTTATGTTTAAGTTCGACTTTGCGACTTATCGATGTGCAAACACACGACACGCACGGGCAAGTCAATTAGTGGGTCACACAGTCGAGTTAAAGTTAATGTGGACTTAACGGTTTAAATTCCGGTTATGAGATTTCAACCTACGCTCTTCCCAAAAATGCATGCTGCAATGCAGTCGGCTTACAGATAATAATAAATATCCCTTTGTAGTTTGCAACAGCATAGCGGATTTGAAACGCTTTTCTGGGAAACAGACAACCTCCACCTCACAAAAGACCACAGTAAGCAAAATAACTTTATTAAAGTCAAACTTTTATTACATTATAGTAATATATGTTATCAACGGTATTGTTACCATGTACCTGTTTTTAGTTACTCCGTGATCATGGCGCTTGCAACAGTGCCGAAATATCGGAAACTCGCTGAAAACAAGGTACATGGTAACATTCCCGATAATAACATATATTACTATAATGTTAGTGACCATGAAAGTTTAAAACAATATTTTATTACATTGCCACAATTTTTTTCGTCTATCTTTAGGATGTCGCATTACAATTTTAATTGTTATTAAAAATTCAGACCTTAATAAGCATCGGTAGTTCAGTGGTAAAGAGCCCGCCTGCTACGCGAGCGGTCTGGGTTCGATTCCCAGCCGAGAGACGACTTTTGTGTAAATGAAGAACTTTAAAAGTTTCACTTAACATCAGTTGGTGTGGTTAAGTTACTGGCGCTTTGTATAAATATTTTTTTATTAATTTTTGTTTCGTATAGTGATGTCATGTTTTACCATAACCGGTTCTTATCGCGAGTGTACGAGTGGGTATAAAATATAGTAACTAGGTACAACAATACATCAGCTGACTTTCCGGTGCCGATGAGCTTCTGAACGGACAACTACTTGTCTACTTGCCATAGAGCAACATGTAACCGCGGTTAAATATTCAAATCATACACGAATTGTGTTTTTATTGTCATGTTTATTTGCTTTATCAATCTTTTTATACCTTGTAGGGTGCCACGGGACCCCCTGTAGCACGTGGTTCAGATTCGCACTTAGCATTTTTTTCTATAAATCACGGACACAGATGCCTTGGGTGCAATATTGCATAGTATGGTTTTCCTTCCGTAGTAGCTCTGTGCGTAGTTGATTTAGGTATTAAGTGCAATCATCTAAGCCATAGATAAAATAACTTGAGTATTGTATTTAATAACTTTCTATATTTTATTGCTTAAAATTACCTCTTCATCATCACACATTTGAAATTTTAATAATCAAAGCATGATATTGACCATTGTTGTTTTTAGTACTTTCAATTTCAGCTTTCAATATTGCTCATTAAGCAACGTAATGAAGCGAGATTCTTCGTCCAAGTAACGAAGATAAAGCAAATTTAAAGATGTGTCCAGCTTTTTTGCCTCTGCACATAGAAAAAGTAACCACTAACGATCATATATCTTCGATTAAAAGTATTGTTGATCGAAGACATACTTAAAATATTATAGAAGGGCTAGGTGTTTTGGATTACGCGCGGTTCCCCAGGTTTTCGTTTTCCCCCGAAAATCATCATCGTATATCATCAGATGAAATCGAGAATAAAAGAAAATAGTTCGGCGGGAAACGAAAACGGGGGGAAATGCTCGTAACTCGAAGTTCTAAGAACATGCATACGCTCGTTAAATATGATTCACTAGGGGCCCGCCCTCGCTTCGCTTCGGTGTAGAGCTGACGTGTAGACTACTGTTTTTGTTCTCAGGCTTGTATTATACACAATGACATTCATCTATGATTCTTCTTATACCTGCATGCAAAGTCTCAGAACGATCGGTTTAAAATTGACAAAGTTTCATTCCAACTTTCATTCACTATTTTATCCCCTTGGGGGTAGAATTGATCAAAATTCTTTCTTAGCGGATGCTTACGTCATAACATCTACCTGCATGTCAAATTTCAGCCTGATCCGTCCAGTGGTTTGGGCTGTGCGTTGAGAGATCACTAAGTCAGTCAGTCACCTTTGAGTTTTATATATATATAGATTATAATTTTATTAATTGAATCCATTTTTCTAATCATTTTTCTTATCAGAAGAGCGTATCATTCATATCTCGCATTTCACAATTTATTTATATATATAGTTAAAATATCGTGCACTATACAAATCCCTCGCCTTTTTGCTGTTGTCTTGTTGAATTTTTAATCAATAAAACCTGTAAGTAGAAATAATACTGGCCCGTTCATAGGGTTTTAACTTGCACGTCTCTCGAGAATAAGACAGGTGTGGTTTGTAAAAGTTGTTACGAGGCATGTGCATATATCAAGTATACACACACTATATATCACATGTTTTAAAACTTATCCGCATGTTCTCAAAAAGTTGTTGCTATAAATAAAAGATGGCGGCGGATCAATTCGTGTTAACTACTTTCACTTCGATTTCTAAGAGTAGTCACTCCTCTGTATGCTAAATTGTCATGAACACTATCAATATTTTTTCTGCCAACAATTTGATGCTGCTTTGTACTGGCGTCGGCCTGATTAGGAGAGATAAATGCTTGCGCGAACCCTTAAATGGCACGCACCTAGCCAGAATACTCACATTAGTAAATTGAATTATATATTATATATTCTTACTTTTTTCATTAACTTCAAATTCAAATATACTTCGGAAGTAGACTTTAATATGTTTTATTATATAACGATACTCAGTACTTGAGTAAAATAATCTGTTTTCAAATTTCGTTATCTCATAACATTACTTTTGCATCAAATAAGTGATGCCAATGATCTTTTCCTTGGCCTGCTTTGTACT